CAAGAGGGTTTTAAAAAGGCCCAGCAACTTGTCACGAAAAGGAGCCGTCTTCGTGACAGGTTACAGGCCCCTCTTGGGGCCCCAAGAGGGCCCCAAGAAAGCTCCAAAGGAGCCCCAAGACGGTTCCGAGAGAGGAGGGAGTCCACCTGTGAGTAAAAAACAATACCCCGCACCTCATGGGACACCTCTTTCGGGAGCGGCCAAGAGGGGGGAGTCCAAGAGGGGGGGTGCAAATCATGACCGGCGGCATGTGCGCGGCCCAGCGGAGGGGCCAGGGACGTAATGAAATAAGAAGAGACGCCATGAAACCTGGGGAAATATCATGGCCCCCGCCATGATATCCCCCCCCCCCTGTCATCACCCCCCTCTTTTCCACCCCCGACTCTTCCTCGGGAGGGCTTGCCCAAAAGTCGTCCTGGCCCCCCCGCGGCACCCAGGGACGCTGTTTTCTGAGGCCTCTCTCGCACGCCGCGTGTCCCAGGAGGCGTGAGGTACGATGCGAGAGGTGTCCCAAGAGGTGTGGGGTGTGTGTGTGTGTGCGTTTTTCCAATCCGACGGGGCTTCAGTGAAATAGGAAATTTCAGGGCTTCCTGGGAGTCCACCCAGGCCACGGTGGGCCGATTTCGGAAACCTTGGGCGCCGTGCTGGGCCAGATGGGGGGTTGTTCCACAGTTGGCCTTCTGGGGAGGCTTCTCGCGGGCCTCTCGGAGGCAGTTTCCAAGCCTTTGGGGGGCCGTTTGGGGGCATCTTGGAGCCTCTTTTGGGCCTCTCGGGGGCCTCTTGGTGTCTTTTCGGGGCCTCGTGGGGGCCTCTTGGGGGCGTTTTGGGGCGGAAGGCTGGGATTTTCGGTTCGAGGTCCCCCTCTTGGGGCCGTCTTGGGACCCTCTTGGGCCGTCTTCGGCGCGTCTTGGGCCGTCCTGGCGCCCTCTTGGGCCGTTTTAGGGGCCTCTTGGGAGCCTCTTGGGCCGTCTTGGGAGCCTCTTGGACTGTCTTCAGCGCCATGAAAGCCGAAAAGCCGCACATGCTCGAAATGTACGTTTTTTCCTGATAATCGATGATTTTGGCATCTTGGGGCCCTCCTGGGACGCCACTTGGGCGTCTCTTGGGCCGTCGTGGAGGCCTCTTGGGCCGTCTTGGGCTCTCTTGGGGCTCCCTGGAAGCCACCGTGGGCTCCTCTCTGGGGGCCCGCGTGGACCGTCCCCACGAGCGGAGCCGCCGAGGTGCCGCCCCCCAGGGCCCGGCGAGGGTGCCCCCATTGGCCCTTCTCGTACGCGCAATGCCCGGTATTGTAGGTTAGATGACTTTGGGCTCCAGCTTCGCCTCCCGCATCTCGCGCAGCAGCGCCAGGGCATGCTGCCACTGTCGGCCCTTCTCGAACGCACTGATCCCAGCGTTGTAGCTGACTAGGGCAGACCTGTGGACTCCGTCCACGACATCAGCTCGACGTGGCGAGGGGTCTCTGGGCAAGCGCGGGGGGGTGCGGCTGCAGGGCCGAAAGGCAATCATGATGGCGTCGGGCTCCTCCTCCTCCTCCTCCTCCTCCTCCTCCTTTTCCACCTTCTTCTCCTCTTTCGCTGGATTCTCCATGCCCTCGGTCGGCAATCGTCGATCCTACGACGACTCTCCCCAACAGAGAAACATCGAAGGCCCTCGGAGCGTCCAACATTGTTCTTTTGTGCCTTCGATATGCCGGTCGCCTCTCGTCCGCTCCCCCGCTCCTGGAAGGAATTCTGAAGGCACTGAAGGCTTCGTAGGGGCCGTTTCGGAGCCTCTTCGGCCTTCGTTTGGGCCTCGCGGGGGGGCTCTTAGGGCTCTCTCGGGCCGTCTTGGGTGCCTCTTGGGCCGTCTTCGGGCCATCTGAGGCCCTCCTTGGCGCCTCTTCGGCTGTCGTGGGCCGTCTTGGGCCGCTCCTGGGGCCGTCTTGGGTGCCTCTTGGGCCGTCTTGGGCGCCTCCTGGGCCGTCCGGACGCCGTCCTGCGGCGTCTTGGGACCGTCTTGGGGCCCTCCTGGCCCGTCTTGGGGCTCTCTTGGGGTCCTCTTCGGCCGTCTTGGAGCGGTCGGGGGGGCGTCTTGGGCCGTCTTGGAGCGTCGGGAAGCCGACGAGGCGAGGAGGCCGAAAACATTGACAAACACAATAGAAATCGACGATTTCTGTCGCTCGGGGCCCTCTTGGGAGGCCTCTTGGGAGGCCTCTTCGGGCGTCTTGGACGCCTCGAGGGCCTCCTGGGGCGAATCTCGGACGTCTTGGGCGCTCTTGGGCTGTCTTGGGCCGTCTTGGGCCGCTCCTGGGGCCGTCTTGGGTGCCTCTTGGGCCGTCTTGGGCGCCTCCTGGGCCGTCCTCCTGGGGCGTCTTGGGACCGTCTGGGGGCCCTCCTGGCCCGTCTTGGGGCTCTCTTGGTATCCTCTTCGGCCGTCTTGGAGCGGTCGGGGGGGCGTCTTGGGCCGTCTTGGAGCGTCGGAAAGCCGACGAGGCGAGGAGGCCAAAAACATTGAAAAACACAATAGAAATCGACGATTTCTGTCGCTCGGGGCCCTCTTGGGAGGCCTCTTCGGGCGTCTTGGACGCCTCGAGGGCCTCCTGGGGCGAATCTCGGGCGTCTTGGGCGCTCTTGGGCTGTCTTGGGCCGTCTTGGGCCGCTCCTGGGGCCGTCTTGGGTGCCTCTTGGGCCGTCTTGGGCGCCTCCTGGGCCGTCCTGGGGCCGTCCTGCGGCGTCTTGGGACCGTCTGGGGGCCCTCCTGGCCCGTCTTGGGGCTCTCTTGGGGTCCTCTTCGGCCGTCTTGGAGCGGTCGGGGGGACTTCTTGGGCCGTCTTGGAGCGTCGGAAAGCCGAAGAGGCGAGGAGGCCGAAAACACCGAAAAACACAATAGAAATCGACGATTTCTGTCGCTCGGGGCCCTCTTGGGAGGCCTCTTGGGAGGCCTCTTCGGGCGTCTTGGACGCCTCTTGGGCCGCCTGGGGCGAATCTCGGGCGTCTTGGGCCCATCTTTAAGCGTGCCGGGGCTCTCCGGGGCCGTCTTGGGGGCTTCTGGGGGCCCTCCCGACATGTCCTGGAGCCTGCCTGGGCGGCCCGGGGCGGCCCGGAGCCAGCCCGGGGCGGTTTTGGTGCATTGGAGCCTGCGCCATTCTGGCACGCACTGGGCCCTGCAATGTAGTAGAGACTAGGGCAGACCTGTGGACTCCGTCCACGACATCAGCTCGACGTGGCGAGGGTCTCTGGGCAAGCGCGGGGGGGTGCGTTTGCGGGTGAGGCCCTCGGAGCGTCCAACATTGTTCTTTTGTGCCTTCGATATGCCGGTGGCCTCTCGTCCGCTCCCCACCTCCTGGAAGCAATTCTGAGGCCACTTAGGGCTTCGTGGGGGCCGTTTGGGGATCTCTTGGGGCGTTTTTGCCTGCGATATGCCTGTCGCCTCTCGTCCGCTCCCCCGCTCCTGGAGGGAATTCTGAAGCCACTGAAGGCTTCGTGGGGGCCGTTTCGGAGCCTCTTCGGCCTTCTTTTGGGCCTCCCGGGGGGGCTCTTAGGGCCCTCTCGGGCCGTCTTGGGTGCCTCTTGGGCCGTCTTGGGGCCGTCTGAGGCCCGCCTCGGCGCCTCTTGGGCTGTCTTGGGCCGTCTTGGGCCGCTCCTGGGGCCGTCTTGGGTACCTCTTGGGCCGTCTTGGGCGCCTCCTGGGCCGTCCTGGGGCCGTCCTGGGGCGTCTTGGGACCGTCTTGGGGCCCTCCTGGCCCGTCTTGGGGCTCTCTTGGGGTCCTCTTCGGCCGTCTTGGAGCGGTCGGGGGGACTTCTTGGGCCGTCTTGGAGCGTCGGGAAGCCGAAGAGGCGAGGAGGCCGAAAACATCGAAAAACACAATAGAAATCCACGATTTCTGTCGCTCGGGGCCCTCTTGGGAGGCCTCTTGGGATGCCTCTTCGGGCGTCTTGGACGCCTCTTGGGCCGTCTGGGGCGAATCTCGGGCGTCTTGGGCCCATCTGTAAGCGTGCCCGGGCTCTCCGGGGCCGTCTTGGGGGCTTCTGGGGGCCCTCTCGACATGTCCTGGAGCCTGCCTGGGCGGCCCGGGGTGGCCCGGGGCCAGCCCGGGGCGGTTTCGGTGCATTGGGGCCTGCGCCCTTCTGGCACGCACTGGGCCCTGCAATGTAGTAGAGACTAGGGCAGACCTGTGGACTCCGTCCACGACATCAGCTCGACGTGGCGAGGGGTCTCTGGGCAAGCGCGGCGTGCCTGTCGCCTCTCGTCCGCTCCCCCGCTCCTGGAGGGAATTCTGAAGGCACTGAAGGCTTCGTGGGGGCCGTTTCGGAGCCTCTTCGGCCTTCTTTTGGGCCTCCCGGGGGGGCTCTTAGGGCCCTCTCGGGCCGTCTTGGGTGCCTCTTGGGCCGTCTTGGGGCCGTCTGAGACCCGCCTCGGCGCCTCTTGGGCTGTCTTGGGCCGTCTTGGGCCGCTCCTGGGGCCGTCTTGGGTGCCTCTTGGGCCGTCTTGGGCGCCTCCTGGGCCGTCCTGGCGCCGTCCTGGGGCGTCTTGGGACCGTCTTGGGGCCCTACTGGCCCGTCTTGGGGCTCTCTTGGGGTCCTCTTCGGCCGTTTTGGAGCGGTCGGGGGGCTTCTTGGGCCGTCTTGGAGCGTCGGGAAGCCGAAGAGGCGAGGAGGCCGAAAACATCGAAAAACACAATAGAAATCTACGATTTCTGTCGCTCGGGGCCCTCTTGGGAGGCCTCTTGGGAGGCCTCTTCGGGCGTCTTGGACGCCTCTTGGGCCGTCTGGGGCGAATCTCGGGCGTCTTGGGCCCATCTTTAAGCGTGCCGGGGCTCTCCGGGGCCGTCTTGGGGGCTTCTGGGGGCCCTCTCGACATGTCCTGGAGCCTGCCTGGGCGGCCCTGGGCGGCCCGGGGCCAGCCCGGGGCGGTTTCGGTGCATTGGGGCCTGCGCCCTTCTGGCACGCACTGGGCCCTGCAATGTAGTAGAGATGACGGTGGGCTCCAGCTTCGCCTCCCGCATCTCGCTCAGCAGCGACAGGGCCTGCTGCCACTGCTCGCCACTCGCGCACGCACTGATCGCAGCGCTGTAGCTGATGACGGTGGGCTTCAGCTTCGCCTCCCAAATTTCGCTCAGCAGCGCCAGGGCCCGCTGCCACTGCTCGCCCTTCTCGCACGCGCTAATCCCAGCATTGTAGCTGACTAGGGCAGACCTGTGGACTCCGTCCACGACATCAGCTCGACGTGGCGAGGGGTCTCTGGGCAAGCGCGGCGTTCTCGTCCGCTCCCCCGCTCCTGGAGGGAATTCTGAAGCCACTGAAGGCTTCGCGGGGGCCGTTTCGGAGCCTCTTCGGCCTTCTTTTGGGCCTCCCGGGGGGGCTCTTAGGGCCCTTTCGGGCCGTCTTGGGTGCCTCTTGGGCCGTCTTGGGGCCGTCTGAGGCCCGCCTCGGCGCCTCTTGGGCTGTCTTGGGCCGTCTTGGGCCGCTCCTGGGGCCGTCTTGGGTGCCTCTTGGGCCGTCTGGGGCGCCTCCTGGGCCGTCCTGGGGCCGTCCTGGGGCGTCTTGGGACCGTCTTCGGGGCCCTCCTGGCCCGTCTTGGGGCTCTCTTGGGGTCCTCTTCGGCCGTCTTGGAGCGGTCGGGGGGACTTCTTGGGCCGTCTTGGAGCGTCGGGAAGCCGAAGAGGCGAGGAGGCCGAAAACATCGAAAAACACAATAGAAATCGACGATTTCTGTCGCTCGGGGCCCTCTTGGGAGGCCTCTTGGGAGGCCTCTTCGGGCGTCTTGGACGCCTCTTGGGCCGTCTGGGGCGAATCTCGGGCGTCTTGGACCCATCTTTAAGCGTGCCGGGGCTCTCCGGGGCCGTCTTGGGGGCTTCTGGGGGCCCTCTCGACATGTCCTGGAGCCTGCCTGGGCGGCCCGGGGCGGCCCGGGGCCAGCCCGGGGCGGTTTTGGTGCATTGGGGCCTGCGCCCTTCTGGCACGCACTGGGCCCTGCAATGTAGTAGAGACGAGGGCTGACCCGCGGCCTTCTGGCCGCGGAATCTGCCCGCCATGGCGTGTACGTGGAAGTGGAGCGTCCCTGGGGCCTCGCAAGCCAGGGGAGGTTGGAGGAGACGGCGTGGATGGAGGAGGTGGCCGCCCGCTGGAGGGGGAGGTGGGCGAGGGATGCAGGCACAGGCCTGAAGGCAGCAACGCGGTGGTAGAGGCGGTATCAATGGAAGCACACCCATGCAGGCATGACATGGTGTGGACAGAAGCTGTTTCTCACGCCGCATTATATGTTCATCATGGCTTCTGCGGGGAGGGTAGCCGTGATAATTGTATCTGCTCCTCGCCGGGGCCGAATGATAATTTTATCTGGTAGTGTGGTGACAATGGGGGCGGTGGGCGCGGCCTAAGAGGCCCGCAAGAGGGCGGCGAGACGGCCCAAAAGGTCTCCAGGACGGGCCACGAGGATTTTAAAAGGCCCCAGAGGGCTCCACGAATTCCCGAAGGGGCCGATCTTGGGCGCTCTTGGGGCTATCTTGGATGTTTCTTGGGCTGTCTCGGGCGCTTCTGGAGCCCGCTTGGGGCTATTATGAACTGCTCTTGGGGCTGTCTTGCGTGCGTCTTGTGCCGTCTGTGGGGCTTTGGGGGAGCCCTCCGCGCGTCTTCGGGCGAGCTGGGGGCCTGAGTAGCCGTTTTGGGCGCTGCGAGAACGAAAAAACAAGGTATAGTGAACATGTGCGTCTCCCGTCGGGAATTGGACGATTTTGGCATCTTGGGGCTCTCCTGGAGGCCCTTCTCAGCCATCTTGGGAGCCTCCTGGCCTTGGGGGCATCTGAGGCTGTCCTGGGGCTCCCAGGGGTGCTCTGAAGCTGTCTTGGGTGCGTCTTGGGCCGTCTCGGGTGACTCTGGAGCCGTTCTGGGGCCGTGTGGGGCAGTTTGGGGGCCCTCCTGGAGGCCTCTGGGCGCGTCTTGGGGCGAGCTGGGGGGCGTGTGTAGAAGATATGATGAAAATGTGCGTTTCCCGTCGGGAATGGGAGCCGTCCCGTGGGCTATTATGAACTGCTCTTGGGGCTGTCTTGGGTGCGTTTTGGGCCGTCTGGGACGCATCTGGAGCCGTCCCGGGGCTGCCTCGGGCCGTTTGGGGGCCTTCCTGGGGTGCTCTGGGGGCGTCTTGGGGCGAGCTGGGGGCCTGTAAAGCCGTCTTGGACGCTGTGAAAACGAAAAGAGCGAGCACATCAAAAAGGTACGCTTTCCGAAGGGAATGGGGCAATTGTTGCATCTTGGGTCCCTCCTGGGGGTCCTCCTGGGCCGCCTTGGGAGCCTCCTGGCCTGCCTTGGAGGCCTCTGGGGCCGACCTGGGGCCCAGCTGGGTCCCTCTTGGTCTGTCCGGGCGCCCTCGTGGGCGTCTCTGAGCCGTCTTGGAGCGGCCCGGGGGCTCGCAGGGCGGCCCGGAGGGCCCGGCCAGTGTTTCGGGACAGAGGACCTTCTGGAACGCAAAGATCGCTGCATTGTAGAAGAGATGACGTCGGGCTCCAGCTTCGCCTCCCGCATCTCGCTCAGCAGCGCCAGGGCCCGCTGCCACTGCTCGCCCTTCCCCTTCTCGCACGCGCTGATCCCAGCATTGTAGCTGACTAGGGCTGACCCGCGGCCTTCCGGCCGCGGAATCTGCCCGCCATGGCGTGGACGTGGAAGTGGAGCGTCTCGGGGGCCTCGCGGGGGGGGGAGGTCGGAGGGGACGGCATGGATGGAGGATGTGGCCGCTGGAGGGCGAGGTAGGCGAGGGATGCAGGCAGGCAGGCCTGAAGACAGGAACGCGATGGTGGAGGCGGTATCAATGGACGCACACCCATGCACGACATGATGTAGCTGTTTCTCACGCCGCGCTCTGTGTTCGTAATAGTTTTTGCGGGGCGGGTCGCCGTGATAATTGTATCTGCTCTTCGCAGGGCCGAATGATAATCTTATCTGGTAGTGCGGTGAGAATGGGACTGGTGGGCGCGGCCTAAGAGGCCCGCAAGAAGGCGCCGAGACGGCCCGAGAAGTCTCCGGGACGGGCCAAGAGGCTTCCAAGACGGCCGCAGAGGGCCCCACGAACTCCCTAAGACGGGCCTCAATGCGAGGACACGAAGCGACCGTTCGAGCGCACCGCCCCCGAACGTCCCCAAAAAGCCTAAGAGATGGCTCCCAGAGGGTCCAAAAAGTCCCCAAGACGACGCTGGAAGTTCGACGCTCCTCAACAGGAAGCATTCAAGGCCTCTTGGCAGCCGTTTGGGGGCCGTTTTTCGTCATTGGGGGTCTCTCGGGGCCCTCTTGGGCCATCTGGAGTGCCTCTTGGACCATCTTGCGGCCCTGTCGGGCCGTCTTGGGCGGGCGCCTCTGGGGCCATCTTGGGGCCGTCTTGGGGCCATCTTGGGCCGTTATTGGGCCGTTATTGGGCGCCCTTCGGGTTGTCTTGGGTGTCTCTTAAGCCGTCTCGGGCGCCTCTGGAGCCATCCCGGGGCACTCGGGCCGTTTGGCGGCCCTCCTCGGGGCGTCTTCGGGCGCTCTTGGGGCCTTGTGTGGGCGTATGGGGGCCCAGGGCTCGGAATGCCAAGGTTTTCCCTGTTCTTTGGCACCCTCTTGGGCCTGGCTTGGGCCTCTTGGGCCATCTTGGGGCTCACTGGGCCGTCTGGGGACGCGCTTGGAGGCCTGTTGGGCCGTCCTGGGGCGGTCTTGTGGGTCTCTGCGGCCGTCTTGGAGCGTCGGCTAGCCGAGAAGGCGAGAATGCAAAACTCCTTCAAACACCATTGACAAATTAAAGATTTTGGCCTCTGGGGGCATGCTTCGGAGGACTGTGGGAGGCTCTTGGAGGCCTCTTGGGCCTTGTTGGGGGCCTCTTGGGCGCTGTTTGGAGCCTCTTATGGCCACTTCGGCGCGTCTTTGGACGGAGGGCTCGATCTGTGACGCTCGGGGGCCAGGATCTCCGTGAGGGGTGCCGAAAAAATGGGATACCTAGGGCCGTCCTGGGAGCCTCTTGGTGTCGCCCTGGGGCTGTTGGGCGCCTCTTGGGCTCTCTTGACGCCCTCTCGGGCCGGTTTTCGTGCGTCCTGGGGGCCTCTTGGGCCGTCTTGGGGCGGTCGTGGGGACCTCTTGTCCCAGCTTCTGCGCCATATTCCCGACAAGCAGCGCATGCTAGAAGTGAGCGTTTTTCTTCCTCTGGGGGCCATCCTTGGACGCCTCTTGGGCGTCTCTGGGGCCGTCGTGGAGGCCTCCTGGGCCGTCTTGGGTTTGTTTTCGGCGGTCTGGGGCTCTCTTGGAGCGCTCTTGGGCCGTCTTGGGGGTGTCTGGGGCCGTCCTGGGCGCCTCCTGGGAGCCTCTTGGGGCCGCCTGGGGGCCGTGTTGGGCGCCTCTTGGGTCTCTTGACGCTCTCGCGGGCCGGTGTTCGTGCCTCTGGGGGGCCTCTTGGGCCGTCTTGGGGCGGTCGTGGGGACCTCTTGTCCCATCTTCTGACCCATACTACCGACAAGCAGTGCGTGCTAAAATTTAACGTTTTTCGTTGGAAAAACAATGATTTGGGCCTGTGGGGGCCATCCTGGGACGCCTCTTGAGCGTCTCTGGGGCCGTCGTGGAGGCCTCCTGGGCCTTGTCGGGGCCGTTTTCGGCGGTCTGGAGCTCTCTTGGAGCGCTCTTGGGCCGTTTTGGGGGTGTCTGGGGCCGTCCTGGGCGCCTCTTCGGCCGCGTGAGCGCCTCTGGGGCGTCCCCGGAGCCGTTGTGGGGCATTTTAAATCCATCAATAAGGCAGGGACCCTTCCCGCACGCACGGGTCCCTGCATTGTAGAGAAGACTAGGGCTGACCCGCGGCCTTCCGGCCGCGGAATCTGCCCGCCATGGCGTGGACGTGGAAGTGGAGCGTCTCTGGGGCCTCGCGGGTAGGGGGAGGTTGGAGGGGACGGCGTGGATGGAGGAGGTGGCCGCTGGAGGTGGAGGTGGCCGAGGAGGGATACAGGCAAGCGAGTGATAACTTTATCTGGTAGTGTGGTGGCAATGGGGCCAGTGGGCGCGGTCTAGGAGGCCCACAAAAGGGCGGCGAGACTGCCCAAAAGGTCTCCAGGACGGGCCAAGAGGCTCTCAAGGCCCCACGAACTCCCTAAGACGGGCCCCAGAGCGAGGACACGAATCGACCTTTCGAGCGCACCGCCCCAAGACGTCCCCAACTGGCGCAGAGATGGCTCCCAG